GAACTTGCGGTTTTTAACAAGAAGTCAAAAATATCACTTTTTACCAAAAATTTAAAAAATATTCACCAAAATTAGAGAATTAAAGATATCATTACAAAATGAACAAATCTGAGAGAGGTCCACATGTAGTACGTATATATGTAATATCAAAGCAATTGGACTTGCGGTTTTTAACAAGAAGTCGAAAATATCACTTTTTACCAAAAATTACAAATATATTCACCAAAATTAGATAATTGAAGATATCATCATGAAATGAACAAATCTGAGAGAGGTCTAACCAAGGTACTTATACACAAAGTATCAAAGCATTCAGGCTTGTAGTTTTCAAGAAGAAGTCGAAAAAGTAAAACATTGACACGGACGACGACGACGGACAATGACTCATATGATAAGCTCCGCTCGACAAAGTCAACAGCGGAGCTAATAAAATATGAATGTAAAAACCAAATATAAACTTTAATAAAAATTTATATTTTATAAAGTACACCTAAACCCTATCCCAACTACCACACTTTGTGTTAGAATTAAAAATTAAGGTATTACTGGGATTCTTAGAAAAATAAAATAATGTGAAATTTACATTGGACTAAAGTATAAAAATATATACTGTACTGTATTTATTCAGTAAGATCTATGATTCAACATACCTTAGCTGACATGGCTGCCATGGCAACATCTTTTTCTCGTATTTCTTTTTTGAGTCTTTCAATTTCCCCCATAAGTCTATTTATGGTAGAATCCTTGTTAGATACATCTCGCTGTAATGTAACAACTAAGCCTTGACTCGTTACTTTCTCTTTTTTACCACGCTCCATTTCTTGTTTCAACATTGTGATTTCACGTTCACGTTCTAACACTACACTACGTAAGATAGCAGGATTCTCATTGGGATCTTGGCTTTCTATTTTCATTCTACTCATCTGAAACAAACAAGTATTATACCATTCAGTCAATTCAGCTATCCACAGACAGAGTTGGAGAAGTTAATTCCTTAGTGGCTAGCCTGTTTGAATACTAGATACTACATTATAGGGACTGTGACTTAGCATGTGGTGGACAGAAGAAAATTACTTTTGTTTTCTATTACATTAAAATGGTCTTCATTTTTTTATATTCAACTCATATAATTAACATACTATTTTTTTCAGAAAATAATTAGATTGTACTGTTGCAACAAAGTGTGCAATTTTTTCAAAACCTGAGTACATGTTGATGTGGATGAGATTTTTGTAATGCTATTGAGATGATCACAAAATCATGTTCCATTCTAATCAAATAATTTAATTTACAGAGGATGCAGTCCCATACTGTTTGTGTGCCATTTTTTGTTGTTGAACACAACAAGTCAAAAGATATGTGGTGTGGAACGAGTACTGCAAAATGTGATCACAACTAAAACAATATGCTATCACAGTTGGTCACATATGATAATCGTTGTTATCACAGATTTATTACCTGTTCTTTTAGGGCATGGATTTCTAATTTCTTGGCAGCCACTTCACTCTCTATCACAATAAATTTGCGTTGGAGATCATCATTGTCTTTGCTACTCAGCTGATTTTGTTCTGAGAGGCTTTTCTGGAGCTGATCAATTTCATCTCGCAATGTTGAGATCACAGCGTCTTTACGATTGGACTCAGATTCAAAGACAGCCAATCGGCTAAGTTCATCACCCATGCGTTGTAGACGCTGATCCTGTAACATAAAGGATGACCGTCAACTTGTTTAGATAGAATATGAATTACTGACATTTAAGAACATTGAATGTCACTTCTCTCGTTCAACTTTTCTTTTACCACAAAAACCATATTCATGTTCAATCTACGTGACAAAGCTATGTGACTGGCTTCCTATCATAATGGCAATATGGAAATTAACACGCCATCCTTGGGTCTACCAATCAATACAACAACCAGTATGCTGCCAGTGACTGGTGGTCTTACCTTTTCAGACACAGCTAGAAGTTCATTGCTAGGTGATTGTCTTGTAATAGGACTGCCACCAACAGCTGATGTGATAGTTGTACGTGCACCTGTTGTACTTGTCCATCCACCAATTGCTGTAAAGTAAACAATATAAATGTTATCTTTGCATATTTTCACTGCTGGTGGGAGTCCTACAGTCAGTGTCGGATATCCAATCTGACTAAAAATAAAAACCCTGACAATAATCTACATATGAACTCTGTAGAATATCATTTTATTATGGAGTGATGTCCTATACTTAATACCAGATATGCACAGACTTGTCTTGGTGCCAGAGTCATTCAGACATTTCTTATACTTGCAATAGGCCAGAATGGGGTCTACTGCTTAGATAGCTACATTTGGTTTGAATAGCCAGTTTTCATGCAGCTCAATACAACATATATTTTATAAATTCTCCACACATGCATTCATGCACCAAACACACTCAGGCACACTGCCCAAATACCATATGTACACACTGCCTTAACTCACTTCTGTGCTGGACTTTAGGACTCTCTACAGGACTGACATGATGACTACCCTGAGTACTGCTAACACTAGACTTTCTAGAACCTGCACTTGCAGGCCTGGTCCTCAATGAAAGTGGTGGTCTGGGTAAGACTGGTGCTGGTTGTGTCCATGATGATGGAGCAGAAGGTGTTACTGTGGTTGCCAAATAAGGAAGCTGTGATGCGGAGATACTTGTTGGATCTGATGATAGTGGTTGGCTCCAGGCAGGTCTTTGTTGTACAGGTGGGTGACTTATCTAATAAATAAATAATCATACATCAGGTTAGAACTTCAGAAAGGCATCAAAGAGTATGCCCTGATGTCCTTTGAAAAATACAGACCATATATTAGCTCTAGCATATGCACTTACAGGTGTTGTCCATGGCCAAAATAAGTCACATTTCAAATTAATTAATTAATTTTATTATAGAAATGTTTCAATCAAATAAATATAAAATTCACTATGCTACAAAAATGTTTATCAATTGGTGCTTGAAATTGAGTTGCTTCTCAACTCCAAAGTTTAAGCCTTACATGTATATCACCTTGACAAGATACAAAGTTATCTTTAATTTATGTCAAAGCATTTAAACAGTATTGTAGGGTAATCACACATAGTGAACTGCAGGGTACGACACAGGGTTAATTTCAACCCACTGTTGAACAAGTCATGACATGACACGGTTTGTGTTCATTATCAGTGAGAATTCATATCAGAGTACACGTGTCCCGTGATAACAAAACATATGAGAGATACGTCATTGGAAAAGCATTTGTTAAAATAAAATTGTCGCCAGTTTGAAACTGATCTGCAAAACAAGTAATGTGCATCCATGATGTCCAATGCATGAACCAAGTGTGAATGAAATCCATGTATACATAATCAAGATAAGGTTCTTATATGGCAGAAATTCTTGATTTTGATAAATTCTCATCAAATTATTTTGAATCGTACCATGCAAAAATTGCATATCCAAAGAATGATAATGTATATGGGAAATTCAACCATGATCCGTCAAGACATGTCCAGGATAATTGTACACACACAGAGATAGACACACAGACAGAGTGACATTATAAGTCCCTGTTTTCAGAATTACACAAGTCAATGAAAAGTTACTATTATTTTGTCTTGCAACAAAACAAAATAACTACCATATATTCTCTCGCATACTCTTACATAAATTACAAAAGGTGAATTATTTTAATGATTCAGAATACAAATACAATTTACTATTTGTATAATGTTCTTTTGGAGTACTGAGAATGTGGTAATACAGGCATGATAATTCTAGAAGCGCCCCCATCTCTACACACATTCTTTTATTGACAGTCACCATGTTTTACCTACAGTAGTAGTCACTAAGTAAACACACCTGGTTACAACACAAACAATGCCGCATTGTTCAGCAGTTACTCTGATCACCAACTTTTGACAGTTATTCTGCAGGGTTTGAACTTTACCAAGGCATCAATGTGAAACACACAGATTTTCTCTCTAGTAATCCAGTACGCTAAGCCAATTTAAAAAAAACTGCCTTGAAAATGAGTTCACGCCCTGAAATTGTGATATGTCTATATAAGTATGCTACTCATTCACCATGGTAATCATCACAAATGACAATGAAAACCAATTAAGAGTTGCTATGGAATTACTAATATGGTTCAGAATGTTAATAGAGATTAAAGTGCCTGTGCAATGCCCACCCTCACGTTTCCCATTTTAGATCTGTGTCCCACTGAAATGGGCAGTTATTGATTTTTTTGCTGAAAATGATTACTCGTATCCAAGTAAATTTCGGATATTTCTCGTGTTGTAGCCACGCCCACCTATCCTGAAACGGTCGACTGTTTCCGGATTTCCGACTCTCGCCGAAAGTGCGCCACCAAATGCCAAAATGTGAGAGGAAGTCATACCCCTGAGCTGTAATAACACTGGTCATTCAGTATACCGG